GGCTTTAAATAATTCTTCTTCTAAGTAGGGTGTTTGTGATCCCTGGTTCTCTAATGCTGGAGATAAAATTGAGACAAATAAGAGATAAGGTCTTAAATGAATGAAGCTTCTAATCTTACCAGTCAACAATTTTATGTTTCTCATAAATTTTAAAAATAAGCAATGTGTTATGAAAGTATTATTTTTAACACAAACTTACTTTCCTTTGCAGTACCGGTCCTACCATTAGCTGGAATATTGGTTCTTCCATTTCTCTCATTCAGTGGTAAAAAAAAAAAAAAAAAAAATGTACCTTAGGTTTTCCCACTATAAAAAACACACTTTCTTGAATGGTAACAGCTTTGCATGTTGTACTAGTACACAACTTAATAGAACCTGTACTAACTTCACAAAAATGGAAGTACAATGCACTGTTAATCGCAGACCTTTTGCAGTTCTTTAACTAGCCACACAATGTTTTAATTGCTGTGTATCTGAGGCAGATGAATACTTTTAAGCCTAAAAAAATGTTTGAGCATCTTAAGGCCTTGTTACACCCTATGCTATGAGCAGCACAAATGTTTATTGGTGTTAGTGCTACCTTGGAATTTGGAGCAGTCACACCCATAGTCTAGAAACCTCTTGCTGCCCCTGCCTGCACAGCTGTGACTTGCCATTAGAGACCTGGTGAGCAGGGGCAGGACGAGGAGCTGTAACCGAGTTAGCACTAGAGGGCTAGAGAGCCAGGACAGGCTTCTATCCCTGCTGTACAGGCGGGTATGAGAGATCCTGGGATACGGGGGGACTTCAGTTTGGACAGCACATCTATAGGGGGGGTAGGGACGGGCACACCATAATGTAACAGGAGCTGAGTAGTGTGGATCAGAGAGAATCCTGCCCTGGAGTGGCATAATTTTGAACCTCATGAGTGCTTAAAACTACTTTAAGGTGTTAATATGTGAACAGCACAGGGGTTAAAAGCTCCAGGAGCTACCCAAAATGACTGTGCAATAAGGCCTTTACCCAATTAAAGGTTTTCTGTTTGAACTCTTGTAATTATGTAACACCGAGAGTCGATAGCTACAGCGTAGATTCCAATATTTGCATCAGCACTGAACACGGGATCATAGATCTCCGTATTCTATCACCCGTTTGCTTTTCTGCTGTTTGGAGACCAGTTATAGCTCTGAACATGTTTGAAGGCTTGCCCTCTGGCCATTGTTTTCCTGTAAATGTGCTTCACTGATTTAAAGAGAAGATATGCTGTTCAGTAATTAAGGCAGGAGAGTATTTACAAGGACTCCTGGGTCTGTGAGCCTGTTTACCCTCTATACAATGGGTAGACTATTACTTACCTTACAAATACGTTGACAGGCTTAACAAGTGATTTGAAATCCATGTACTGGAAGCAGGGTTTAGGTTTGCTATCGCTGCTGTTTTACATGGAGTTCAGGTATTATCACATGAATATTTGAAAGCTGTAAAGTGTTAAATGTTTTTAAAACTTCCTATGGAGTCTATAGACACATTAATATCATGGGATATTTAAAATGTGTCTTAGTATGATTCTTCCTAATGTTTTAATTGCGCAGTGCTGACAAAAAAGATCTTGCTCAGTTTAGTTCTGAAGCTTTGTTTACACAATGCCATTTTGCAATGGCAATGCAGAGCACTGTCCCAATTTTTGAGGACCTTGTCTGTTTTTAATTTGTTTGAAAAGAAATTTCTAATTACTGATATAGATGGACTGCACTTCCATGAGGCACCCGCTAGGTGGTGGTAGGGTGAAATCGTTAGATCATCCGTTGTTTGCCATGGTTATAGCATGTAAGCATCTCTGCAGTGGAGATTTCAGACTATTAGCACTTTTCTTTTACCCTAGCATACCAGACAAATACATTTCTTACCCGTAGCTTTTATATTAGTGTGAGCAGGAACACAATGAATATTGAAGTCCTTCTGGTTTATATATTGAGTTGCTCCTAATTAGTGCTTCTAACCTTTAGCTTTAGCATACATCCATTCAGACAAAGTGAAGGGCTTCTTTATGGTACAGGTCCACAAAATCCACAAAAACCAAGGGTCAGGGTGCCAAAAGGGTCTTCAGTTTTGGTGGGAGAATCCTTTTTTAAAAATTGTGTTACTTAAATGCACTTTGGTTACTTCCATGTCATTTTGAAAACTAAAGAAGGAAAAAAGGTAAAATGTCACCAAATAAACTTAACTTGCACTAGTATCTGAGAGGGCACTGCCAAATTAATGAATGTTATGAATTAAAAGTAAGGTTACAGAAGAAGAATCTGTTGCAAAAATTATGTTATATAATCTGAATTGAATTCAGTTTAATCTGATCTATAGCTTTGAGAATATTTGATTTGGGGTGAGGGGGTTAATGAATTGGCAAAAAAATGGGTGAAACCCAATTTAAAATCACTTGAGAAAATAAAATTGAAAAATATAATTTTGTTCAATATGAAACAAAAATATTTAGACTGAGGTGCTTTTTAGGTATGTAAAGGAAAAGGAAAGGCATGTATTCACAAAACAGCTTGGAGTAGTGCTGCTATTCCCCTCTTTAACCCAGTTGCTCAAAAGTTAGACTACTCTGATATTCAATTCCTTCCTCTGTTTGGGGAGATTTGATCCCACATCACCACCACCCAAAAAAAGAGCCCCGGTCACAAGATTATAGGATATTCTGGGCTGGAAGAGTGAGAAGAATCTCTCTTGTTCTACTTTGAATAAATATTTCAGCAGTGGCTCAAGTAGGAACTGAGCTACACCCTCATGAGTGTCCTAATTAACCAGGATAGTCATTCTCCCTTGTTTGTTCAAAGAGTTCTACGTTTTATACAACATGGAAGAGGTTCCAAGAGGACGAATTAAGAAAGGCTTCACTTGGATTACCCTATAGGCTGATAGTTAAGGCACATATCTGAGAAATTGGAGACTGGTTAAATCTCTGTCCTGAACCAGCCAGAGAGTAGATTTGAATGTAGCTCTCTCAGCACCTGCAGCTTTGAGTCTAGTCGTGCAATTTTATTTTTTACCTTGAAAGTATTTGTCAAGTTCACAGCTAGTTTTAAGATAAATGAAAATGCTTTTTCTGGGAGACTGGTGTTTGCCAAGAAAAAAGATACATAGATAGATTGATATTGCCTTGGTTTGGCTTGCATTACTTTAAATACCTTTACAAATATAGATACACATCTTATAGTGCAGGGGTTTTCAACCTTTTTTAATAAGTGTACCCCCAGGGGGGGGCTGGCGAGCAGCCAGATGTGGAGCAGGGGGTGGCGAGTGGCAGAGCGGCATCTGTGTGGCCCTGCTCTTGCCTCACCCTGGCCCTGCTCCTGTGAGGCAGTGGCATGGGGTGGCGGCGCTCCGTCCCTCGCCTCCCCATCCCCATGTACCCCCTGCGACCTTTCAAAATACCCCCGGGGGTACGTGTACCCCAGTAGACTTCCCCTGTTATAGTCTGTGTATGTAAACGTAGTATAGTCTTGGTAATTTTCAGTCTTGTTAGCGCGCTGGTATATAATGTTTCCTGGGAAGTGAGGAAGCAGCGCTACTTTTGTGTGCGTGTCATGTTGCAGGGATCACTGATGACTATACTTAGCTCTTAAACAAGATGCCACATTATTTAAACTCTCTGTGCAGTATTGTAGGCTCAGAATTTACGTTCAAAATGTGGGCAGGTTTAGAAGAGGTGAGACGGTATTCACAGGGATTCTCTAACTTTAAGGCCAGATTTTCCAGTAAGTGCCACGTGGAAGTCTCTGTGGGCATGTCTCCACATGCAGGGCTGTGCACTTGCAGGGGCACAAGTAGCAATGGCACAAATTTGTGCTGCTGTTTTGTGCTACCTAGCTTGCACCTGCACATGTGTTTTGATGCATAGCAAATTGTCCCAGGTAGAACTAGGGGAGCTAAGGGCCAGCACCTGCGTTGGCCACAGCAATATTACGTGGCCTCCTGGTGCAGCAGGGGTGCAGCTCCAGGAGCACGGAGCCTGGCTGGCAGCCAGAGTGCTGCTCTGGATGGCCATTCCTCCATATGTTCTGTCACACACTATGCACACATGTGTTGCACTGCTTTTTCTTCGCAGCATTTTTTTTATGCTACTGGGACCTCCTGCTAGCAAATTTAGCTCCCATGCTGTATGGGCACATTTTAACATTGCAGGCATACAGTTTGTGGTGCTGCAAAGAGGTTTGCAGTGCCACAAACCACCTGGGCCTGAACATCTGGATGCATCCTGTGTGCCCCAAGTCCTGCAAAAAATATCTGCCCATGCAGTATTCATTGTAGGCTAGTGGCCAAAAATACATTGTTTGATTAGGTGCCAAAGATTATCTGGAGCCATTCTAAACAGAGATGGGAGTATGCCTGTTTTATCATTACTAGGTTTAACACTTCATTATGCCCTGTAAATGTGAATTTTTCGGTATACTTAATCCACCAAAAAGATATTCACCACAGAAAATGAATGTAGGTTGGGATCCTATTTTTCAGGATTCAAGGAAGGTTTCCAAAATGTTATTAAAAATGAGAAGACTTAATTACATTAGCTATTGTATGATGCTCCATAGTTAGAGTACTAACAATATACTGAAAAGTTATGTCATTTCTTTCTGTTGTGTATAAATAGTGATTCTTAAACCTACTTCTGGTTGATCTTAAACCACTCCTTAGTTTTAAGTTTTAAAAAATGTATGTTTTTTAACAGTGCCTAAAATTTTAAAAGCCTGCAGTGATTAATTTATTTTAAAATGTACCTTCATATGTGTGTGTCATTTTTTTTGTCTATGATCCCACAATTAAAATGGCTAAAAATGTGATGAGTATGTCATTAATCCCATAGTGTTTTGGCATGGCTTATTTTTGTTTCCAGCCCTTTGCTGCACTTTACTGTGGTGTGACTGTGAATTCCTCGGTGCTGTTTGGTGTTACATATCCTGTATTCGTAAGAAGCTTTTTTTTTTTTTCTTTTTTTTTTCTTTTTTTTTTAAATTTTTCAGGTCCACCTTCAACACTCCCTCTAAACACTCAAACCTCTAGTGGCAGCGCCCCTTCCAAGAAGAGACCACCTCCCCCACCCCCTGGACACAAAAGAACCCTCTCCGACCCACCAAGCCCACTACCTCATGGACCCCAGAATAAGGGCCCAGTTCCTTGGGGTGAGTTTTAAAATGCAAAGGGAATTTAAAAAAGAAACCTGAATGTAGCTGATATGTCTTTGGTTTGTCTTTGTCATTCTTGTCTTTCTAATGTTGCTACGACTTAGTGGCAGCTCTGATAAATGAACAATTCCATCTTTTATGATGTCACCAGACTGTCTTGATGTGCTCAGTACCAATCCAAATCCGTGCACCGTTTATAACCTTCAGCCAGTAAGAAGGCGCAAACTCCCAATGTTTTTGTACAACAGGACACGTTGTTAATCAAAACTTTATAGAAACAGTTATTACATTCCTGTTCAGATAGGCATGTTCTCTCATAGCGAGTACTGGCTAACCCAGTCAAAATGCTCTTGGTCGCTGTAAATCCAGGTTTGTCATAACTGACCCTTTTTTGAGGATTTTTTTTTCTTAAAGGCAAATGCTTTCTGAAGAAATGCTCCTGCTTTATTTCCACCAGTCCCAGAACACCGTGTTCTCCTTTAGCCTTAGTAAATATGAGAGGAAGTGGTTCAAAGCAAAATGTTATGAGCAGTAAGCATTTGATACTGCTGCAAATATGCCCAGAGCAAAGTATTTGTCTTGCGCATTTCCAAGTGAATATTATAGACGTCCCCAATTTTTCATCTGCCAAATTCAGTTTTCCAAAAACAATGACTCTAGGGACTGTGTGATGCCAGTATGTATCCGTTCCAGCGGGCAGGGCTTCCTTGGGTCCTTTAACATTGCAGGTTTAAATCCAAAAATTGTTTAGTAGGTCAGCTTCCTCTACTAAAATCCCACAACTGTCCTATAGATGTCCTGATATAAGTCTCCTGAGAACCTAAAAATGCTATAAATTAGCTGACCAATTTGAAAACATTTAGGACTAGGCTAGTTTTAGACCTGTTTGTGTGTGTGCCTCCATCATCTGTATTTGAGATTCAGACCAGGTGTCAGCACGAGAGAGAGAGAAAAAAAAGTTTCAATGAAAACAGTAGTCCTTTTCTAAGCAAGAAAATAATGTATACGTGTTCGTTATATTCTGCATGGCCTGCTCCTGAAAACGTAGCAAGTGAGAGAGGCTTGCAGTATGCACAACAGTTTTGGGCTATTTGGAAATAAAGTGAGAAGTGAATTCCCAATTCTAGGGCCCCTTCTGAAAACCATAGACAGTGTTATAGGCCTGAATCAGCATCTTCAGTTTAAACTGTAGTTATTATGTATGTATATTATAACAGTGCCTAATGGTCAACCAAGAATGAGGTCCCATTGAGTGACGTGCTGTACACAAACAGTAGTGTGTGGTCTCTGCCACCAAAACCTGACAATGGTGACAAGGTAGACATGGGGTATGGAGAAGAAGTATAATGCACGAGGTGAGTGAAGAGCATTATGTTAGCAGATGTTATTCACTGCCGTATTTTGGTGGTAGCCTTAATTAGACAGTTGAGGGAAGCAGGCAGCGGAGAAGAGGGGTATGTATAGAGGGAAGCTGAGATGAAGACTGGGAAAAGTTTGAACCAAACAGGTGGTCACCACAGGTCAAAGAACAAACTCAAATTAAGAAACCCTGCTATGGCTACCCCTGCAGCTGCTCCTGCTGGCGGGCGTTTCTGATTTGCTCTGCTCTGTGTTTTTTATAAGGCCAGAAGGGGGAAAGAGAATCCATTATCTGGGTCATCATGCCTCAGTGTCGGGGGTGCAAGAATAGTGTGGATCTGAGGAAAATCTCAGGGTTTTCATGCTGTGCTGGCTGAAAAGCTTAAACCTCTGAAGAAAAAGATGATGTGCCGTTCTAGCCTTCCTGCACACAGGAAAATGGGACTTTGCACATTCCTTCTTCTAAATAAGCAAGATTGCACCATGATACCATCAACAGTTTTCTTACTAACAGCAATTGCCTCTGGCCCCAACCTTTGGCTATCCACTCTGGTTTTAAAAAAGAGCAACAGTGCAATCAATGAGTTCAGATTTGGGAATGATTTATTTAAAAGAAACCAAATGTTTGAATATCGTTTGGATGAGTCTTTAAAAATAAATGAATTGAAGATGAATGCTTAGCATTTGTTCTTGACATCTACTTTTTTCATCCATGCACGTCAAACTTTTACAGAGGAGTACATACATATGTTTTAATTCAAAGTATTTCAATCTTATAGTTGGAATAAGTGAGGGACAAAGGTTATAGACTTACCCAAAATGAGCTGTGAATCTGTAGCAGAGCAACAAACATAGAAAGAGCCCTGTGTTGGTTCTGTATCTTACCCAGTAGATAGTGCTGCCGTTAAGTGCTTTCTTAATTTGAGCTGAAAAACTTTCTCCCTCCTTCGATAACAGCACAATTTAAAATAGTTAACGATGTGCATTGCCTCTGGTGTTAGTAATAGAAACAGCTTTTGTATAGGGGAGACAGAACCCTGAATTCAGGCTTGTTGGGACATACTAAAGTGTGTATGTTTGTACTTACAAGTATGCTGTATATGCTGTTCGTGATGTGGGGTTTCAAACAGACTGTGTTATCTACCTTAAAACATGTATGGCCAGTTCTAAATTAAGAATATTTTTACAAATCATAACCTAAAGGAATTCCTTCTCCCTGAATTTTGACCAAAAGAATTTCCCCAGTCTTTTAAAGCCAGGATAACATTAGTTGTAAAATGAGAGAGGCTAAAATACAATGAAAAGTGCTAGTAGTAGCAGTGGTGCTGCTCACAACTGTAGAATCACTAGTAAATCAGATTGAGAGCCTTACAAATAAATCTATGAAATATCTACACAGCAGATAGCAGTGTGGTCCAGAGTTAGCTTAGTTAGGTACAATAAGCATTCTGGCCACAGCATTGCAGAGATGAGTGCAGACTAATTTATTCTGCAGTCTGCTGTGGCTCAGCTCAAGCTAGCCTAGGTATCTCTGCTTTGCAGTGCAGTCAGTACCCTTGAAAATGTGCCACAAAGTTTGGAAGTCTTTTGGGATTTTAAGGTCTGTTAAATGGGAAATTAAATTTTCACTTGGAGAAGGCTTTTAATGACAAGCGATGGCATTTGCATTCATGGTTTAGGATTGCTGTCTGATAACTTAATCTTTCAAAGCTAGTTCCCATCTTGGAATCTTTAATAGGCTTTTTTGCTAGCTTCTTTGGTGCTTAAATTGCATCTTACCTGTTAAGGTTTCAAGAAGACCAATTTTTGCTTTACATCTGACCAAATAAGTACTTCAAAATACTCCAAAATTGTTACTGAGATTTAAGTTGGACCTTTCTGCCATTACTAGGAGACCTTTGTTACATTAGCTATTGGATCCTACTGGAAAAAAATGTATACAGTCTTGGCACTGGTCTTGTTCTGAAATATATTTAAAATAATGAAACTCGTGAAATTCTTTGAATCGGGTATTACTGAAGGACTTGCATTCTGTACTTGAGTTCTGAGTGTAGATGATTCCTTGAGCAAAGACCATTCTCTCTACTACTGTAAGTTGAACAGGTTGCCTTTCAACAGCTCTCAGCATAAAAAAGGGCTCTTCACTTGGGATGTTCTGAAATCCTTCATTGCCCACCCCTTGCTGGGATACTGTACCCCAAGTTGCATTTTTGTGAATGGTAGAATGTATCCGAGGGCTGAGCGGAGCCAAACTGCTGGCTTTGAGGTTAATATGACTTTTAGCACTGACTTCATTAGAAACAGTTTAGACCAATGCTGAATGGGACCAATGCCCCATCCACATTGCTAAATATGTGTTGTTTTTTCTTCTAATCTTGATGCTCTATCCATGCACTGTCACTAACTTTTTAGTCTCCATGTTGGCATAGCTATTATTGAGCAGAGAAATTAAATTTTAATAAAATTTTTGCAGCTATCCTTTTATTGATCTTCCATTTGCTAAGAATGGAAATATTAATCTCAGTTTCTTTGTGTAGGAAGCACATTACTACTTAGCGTGTATCATTAGTTGTCAGGTTAGTAAATTCAGCCTCTGTATAATTAATTTAACAGGGTTTTTTTGCACCATGGGATCTAGTCACATTAGTCTAATTCTTTTATTGTCAAATTTAAGGCTTGTCAGAAATGGTGTTACAGAAAGAGGATTTGAATGTGATAAGGGCTCCCAAATATAGAAGGCACTCTTAACTGCAGCTGCACAAGTCTTCATGATGCTTATGATTAATGGAGGGAAAGCGCTCTGTTAGGAGATCTCAGATGTGCTGACTTCATTTTTGGCTTTCACCGCCTTCTGGCAGAGTTCAGTAAAACCTGGGTTTTTTCTACATAGGGAAATGAATTCAGATTAAATGGAATATATATTTAAAAAGGAATAGCTAGTTCTGATTAGTGCCCTACTTTCCAAAATAGATTAAGCTAAGTGGAATAAGGCAATCTGAATCTGGAATAAGAACATTCACACAGGGAGTTATTTGGAAGAGTTGGGCTAATGCTGTAGCCATGATGGTCCAGGAAATATTCAAGAGGTAACAATGCAGTTGGTCCACTAAAAGAGACATCCATGTCTCTCTCTTTATTTGGAAAAAGTATTCTGGGGTACTTACTATATAGACTACTCTTGAATATATACCTACCCCTACGGAATCAGGATTTCCTAAGTAAGAGCTAATTTATAATGGGTTTAAAAGACTATGTACTTTCTAAAGGATGAAGTTGAATTTTTTCTTCATTTCACTGTAGTGCTTTCCCATGAACTTGTTAAGGGGAGAGTTTTATATAGAATGTTTTCCAGTTTCTGCAAAAATTAACTTTGCATTCAAAGGAAATGCCCTGCAATGCTGACTGTATGAGACTGGTCTTTTTCCCACTACCAGCAACTGTTGTTCAGGTATATGTTACACAGGAGGCCATCCTAGATAATCATACAGTCCCCACTAATCTTAAAATGTATGAAACTATGAACGAACATTTCTCTTTAATGTATGCGTAAACAAGCTAATAGTAGGTGTATTTGGAAAGCTGCAGATTTTGGTTTATATCAGTGTAGGCCAGCCTGTTAGGCATGCATGCCACAAATTAACCTTGCACTTTGCCTGAGTGTCACTGATCCCCTTCCCCTGCCCCATCTGCTTCTCTGCCTTCTGCTCCCTGCCTCCTCTGCTGCTCTGCTTTCTGCACTATCTGTCTCTGCCCTGCCTTTCCACTCCCCAGTCTGCCATGTACCACACATGGAAACTGCCCATGCCACCTGTAATATGTGTCCTGCAAGTTGGCCACCTCTGGTTTATGTAACAATACCTTCTCTTTATGTGTTAAGGTTTTTTATCTCTACTAAAAATGAAAATAACCTAATCATTTTTGCCCCTTAGGTAATGATTTGGGCCCATCTTCGACTAAGACTGCAAACAAGTTTGAGGGGATGTCTCAGCAGTCAAGGTAAGATTTTTAACTGTTTGTGTTTGTTAACGATGGGCTTGAAAATCCATCCAGATGTCGCTGACATGTGAATCATGAATCATCATTTACCAAAATAGAACCTGACTAGCCCTTGTCTATACATTTTCTAAACAGATTTCCTACAATCATATTTGCAGAACTGAAACGCTGTATGGTAGAGATGAAATAGTAGCAGCAAATACTGCTCTTGCATCAAAATGGAACACAGGAATGTTGTTGCACTAGGCTCTGATCCAGGCAACCGGGAACTGTACACTCGCATCTTCTGACATTTAAACTACTGCATATTTGATCACTTTTACTAAGCAATGCTTCATGCCCCTACCATAGAGTATCAAAAGGTTACAGATCACTCATTTGAGGTGGAGCCTATTTCTGTAACACAGCCGACTTGAGTCGCATCCATTTTGCCTGCATTGTTTCTCAGCCTGCCAGGGATAAGTGTGCGGGGATATGCTGTCTTCAAGGCTGACTGTTCCTGCCAGTTTAGTATCTTCCCCCTTCACCTTCTGTAACAGAAAGGATAGTAGACTACTGTCACCGCGAGCCAGTGTAGTTACTGTGTTAGCTGAAGGGTTAGACGTGCTGTGGCTCTGAAAGGCCGTTTCAAATGCTGACTACTGCTTTATGGTGGGTGGGCCGGTTTTTGTTGCAAATGTGTGGAAAGATAACAACACATTTGATGTTTCTTTAAGACAGACCCAGGAACTGACATAATTAACTATAAAGCATTATTAACATTGCAAATTCCAGTGCTTTAAGGCAAAGAAATTTTGCAACAGAAAACTGACTGAATCCTGCTTAGATATCCTGACAGGATTGCCACTCAGCTGCCCACATCCTCATTGATTTGATATATTTTTAAAAGATTTTTTTTCTCCAGGGTTTTTATTTGGAGGCAATTTTTTATCCTATTAATTGGGGGGTTTTCCATCATGACTCCTGTCTCCCAAGGCATTGGGGCTGATGAGAGTGTTCCTGAGGTACAGTGGTTAACCTCATGATGGTCTGTGGGTATAAACAGATGTTGTGTTTGGAGCAGGATCACCCAGCACAGGTGATCTGTTTCATTCATGTCAACAGATATCGCTGGGGTCACTGTCCCTCAGGGTCGGACCCCTGCTGTTCCTGGGGTTCCAGGAATGGTGCCATGCACCAGCTCAGTTCCCCTGCTTGTGGCAGTGGCCGCAGGATCCCCTGCTTGCAGACATGCTCCCTGGGTTGGGGCATTGCCGTTTAATATACGTGCTGCAGGAATCCATGCAGGGGGATTCCCAGGGTGCATTGCATCAGGCCCCCAAAGACCCGGGAGAGCCGGCCTGGGCAGCTGGAGAGTGTGGCCAGTAGGCCTGTGTGAAGCGGCTAGTATTCACTTCGGATTCAGGGGACAGTGATTCGATTTAGTGATTCGAATCACTGTCCTGAATCTGATTCGGGGATTCGGTTGCTGCCAAATCGGCCGAATCTCTGAATTAAACAAGCCCCATCCCCTGCCCACTCTCCCAGCCCCGTCAGTGGCTGTCCTGCTCTCACTGACTGCTACCAGGCAGGGTGGGGATCCCCGCTGCCCCCCACTACCCCGCACTGTGTGGGGGGGCTCTGCCACAAGTCTTCAGAAGCCCCAACAGCTGCTGTAGCAGCTGGTGAGTGTGGGGCTTTTTTTAAAAAGAGCGGGGACACTGGGGCTGGGTGGGGCAGCCATTGATGGGGCTGGGAGAGCGGGCAGGGGTTGGGGGCTGCTTGGGGGGGCTGGGGGAGCAGGCAGGGGATGGGGCCTGGTAGGGGTCCCCTCCATGGTTCCCTCCTCCCCCATCCCCTCACTTCTCCCCACTTATCAGCACGGAGTCCGGGTCCAACTCCCTGTGGTGGCAAATGCCCGAATCTTTTCTGAATCAATTCGGAGAGCTTTGAATCAGTTCGGACCTTTTTATCAGTCTCCCAGTTCAATTCAAATTTGAAGATTTGGTCGCTGAATCGGGCTGAATCTACTTCAGATCGAATCAGCAACCAAAGCTTCACACACCCCTAGTGGCCAGCTCTGGGCTGCCTATGTTCTCCCACAGTAAGTGAACAGATGCTGGGGTAAAAAGGCAGCACAAACTGTGACTATAAATCATCACACTTACAAATTTGGGCATTTGTGCTGCACCAAAAGGCTAAGATGTCTGTTTGCTTGGGTTTTGTGCCACCATAAAATTGTTCATGGTGGCACAACATGAGATCTTTGCAACCTGTGATGGCCACTACTATCATATTCCATTTATCACTGTTGTAAAGGGGGCACGAAACCTTAAGCACACAGGGAGTCCTGTCAGTATTGTGTAAAGGAGCTAAAACCCTGAAGTGAAAATCCTGTTAGAATGATAACTTCAGAAAAGCAGAATAACAGATCAGTAATTTTCCTTTCTTGGCAGGGTTTGGTTGGTCCTGGGCCAAATGGTAGTTTGGTAGGAATAAACAGAGTTAATGAGCCAAATGCTTTTACAAGTTCAGTAGTCTGAACAAACAGGGTCAACTATTGTGCTTGTGTCTGGAGTGGAGCATTTCCAATTTTTAACAGTATCTGCTCACAGACATGCAGTAGCTAAATTCCCTAATCTGTTAATATATTCAGTGGTGCCTTTGCTATTAAAAATGGAAGAGACTTACTCTACTTTTGCAGAATGTTCCATAAAATGAGCATTCACCCTTTTACAAAACCATGACAGTCCATCAGATATACCCTCACCATTGTCTTATAGTGTATATTTTGGGAAGTTTCACACCACATGTTGAGATTATCTTTTACAACATGTTTTTATCCTTGGATTATGCTCTTACAGCACATTTTTATCCTTGAATTATGCCTCTGAATAAGCAATGCTTACAGCATCAGTATACATTTTAGCCCTAAGAGGACTTAAAACTTAATAGTGATGTTGTAGTCATGATAGTCCAAGAATTTTGCAAGAGGCAAGGGTTTCTTTGGAAGGATGCTATCTTTTATTAGACCAGTAGTATGGTTGGAATAGACAAGCTTTCAAATGCAGCACATTCTTCATCAGGTCATTACAATTTGAAGAAACAATGTTTCTGCTCATCTTTCTTTTGTGACCTGTGACATATTATGAATGCATAGTACTACTTTTTGGTATGTACTGTTTTATTCACATTTACCCATTTAAAACAGGTACATTCTGGAAATTTGTCTTTTTTTATTTAGGCTGGATCAGTACTTCTACGTGCATGATATTGGTCAGTTAGGGTTGGGAAAAGTTGTGGTCCCTGACCAAGGTAGCTACCTGTCAGAAATGCTGGTGTAGACACAATTGTATCAACAAAACTCTGCTTTTACTAGAATAGTCGACTTCATTTGGCATGGAAGTCATTGCTGTACCATTCCAAAGTGTAGTTTTGCCCGTGGAGTTACCAGTATTCAACACTACAAAAGTGATTCTGGTAAACCAGAGTAAATATGACCTGAATAAAGTTTGGGGTAATTCTGCAGTTATATAAAAGAGTAGCGTACTGATATTTACTATGCTTTTGGAAAAGAGAAAAGTATAGTTATTGTTAAAACTACAGTGTTTAAAGGATGTAGCTGTGTTGGTCTAAGGACATAGGCAGACAAGGTTCTTTGGGTCACTTCAATGCAAGACTGGTTATGATGAAGAGCATGTCCCTGTTCCAGGGGGAGCGTAGTGTGTATTGGTTAGGCATGAAGTCTTACTGTAACTTACTTACTGGATTTTTCTGAACAGTAGATTGGTGTAATTAGCAACATGCCATCACTTTAAGTTCTGACAGTTCATATCTCTTGATTAGCACTGGGACTGCAAAGACTGCACTTGGACCAAGAGTTCTTCCTAAACTACCTCAGAAAGGTAAGAGGTTATTTTTAGTTACTTATTTTTAAGCGTTCACATAATTGTTGACATCCAAAAGACTGGAAAAGTGAATCAGCCCATTGCTTCAGCCCCTTGAACTAACAGCAGCACATAGGACTAACGTTTTATATACACCAGGTTCTGCAGTGGGATGGCACACCAGGGAGTAATGTGACTCACATCACATCAGCTGTCTTTTACTCCCCAGCCCAAACGATCAGGTACCCATTTGGGTGGACTAGTTGAGGGCCTTTTAACATAACCATGGAGCAAAGTTCAGACTTATGCCTCAGGATCCACAGAGAGATTCCTGACCCTCTATGCCGGTGCAACCTGGAATCTGAGGTATTTTCTTAGTCCGAGTCCTGGGGGTAGCGGGGAAACAGTACAGACATGACCTAAATAACTTTGGCACTCACCTTTGAACTGAACTGATTACGTTCCCTGACTTTATCAACACTAAAAAAGATCACCCAGTAATAAAATCGGTGGTGTATGCTGCCTACGGAGGAAAGCGTCTCCAGCGTGTATGCTTTTGAATTACAAGACTTGTTTGCCATTAACATCTTGAATGACTCCAAATAATGATGATGGTTATTAAATTAATCTAGCCTTTTTTAAAGGGTTGGGAGTAGGTGGAAGGAATCTGTAGCGGTACATGAATCAAGAGATTTGGGACATGGGAGAAAAATTGTTAAAAGGAGAGGAGAGTGTGGCATCCAAACTCAAGATGGAAAGATGGTGGTAGCTGCTCTTCTCCCTTGCTCTCTTTCCTCCTTCCTTTGTCCCCAGAAGAAAATAAAAGAAAGAACATAAGATAGAAGAAAAGGAGTCAAAGATAATTAAATGCACATTGAAATCTATTAGTAGCAGCAGTTGACATCTTAACTAATGGTCTAGGGATAAAATGTTTCGGTTGTGTCTAAGGGTGCACGTGCACCATCAGCAGACTGCACTAGACACACCTGCAGTGGAACATGGCATTCCTCCTCTGTGCAGGCTGCTCCCCTGGAGAAGTGCAATGTTGCCGCTGCAACCTTTCTATGGCTACAGGCTCCTGCACAGATAACGGTTACAGCGTAAGAGCTTGCTGCATGCTCTCAAGCACCCAGCATTCCCAGCCTAAGGCCGCATTGCCACCTCTTCCAGAAGTTTCAAACAGGGGTGTTTTTCCCCAACCACTGATATGTGGAGCACTGAAATGCCTATGTTAGTCATAGAAAACCCAGTGTACCCTATCCTGTCCTGCCCCATGAAGCCATACATTGGTCAGCCTCAAGGAGAGAGGTTTAAGAGACTAGACCATGCAGGATGGCAGGTGGGTGCATCTTTGAGCATTGAAGGGCACTGGGGATGTCTCGTGACAAGGCTCCACCTCAGCAAGGCAACTTCTCTCTGGTTGTTGTTACCTTTTGCGCTCTGAGCAGCATGCATAAGGCTGGAGGGAAACTTTGTGCCTAGGTTAGCAAGGGAGTGGTGCAATGGGTGTCAACTGATTGATGGGTTTTTTTGAGCAGTCAGACATAAATGCTAAAAGCAAAGCACACTGTTGCATTCAGACCCTAGCAGAACAATTCAATGACACATCTGAGCTCAGGCCTCCAGCCTCAAGGGTAGTGTGGGTTTTGTGAACAGGGGAGAGCACACCAATGCACATACATAACTGTCTGTTACTTTGCCTGTCAAAACTGGGCCATTTTTTGGGCCAAAAATGGCCAAAAACGGAATCCATTTTGGATTTTATATAGCATCAAACAGAGGAAACGTGGTTTAAAATTTGAGAGAGGAAATGGGCGTAATAAGTAACGCTCATGGAGCCAACATAACAAGTACAAACAATCCTGAAACAGTTAAAATGGGGCCTGCAGAATCCAGAAGAAAGAGAAGTTCAAGATGTTTCTGGACAAAGTGCCAACAGGCTCGTGTCATTAAGCTGTCTCTGGTACTAAGTGGTAGGCCTGTACCTATATGTGGAGAAGTTTGCTAGGGACTTCAGCTAGGGCTATGGCAACAACAACAAAAAGCCTTTGGAGGCTATTTCTGGGGAGGTCTTTGATTAAATTATTTTTTAATGTCTTTATTCCGAGCCAAATTGGCCAAATCAATTCCAAATCCGTGAGTCAGTCCAGAGCCATAAGTGGCCCTACTACCGGCAAACATCCTCCACCCCCATCTGGGGCTCCAGATGTTTCCAAATCCTTTGGTGGGCCTGCAAGTAGGATGCTCAAGCCTGGAGGCTTGGGGTTCAGATTCCCCCGAGTTTTGCTTGCCCTTAGCTATAAGGCCCTTGGAGCAAGCTAGGGAGACTGCCATTTCCATAAAGCGAGCTTACAGCCGCTACACCTTGGCAGGTACTGAACCGTACAGGCAGCCACTCTCAATTGCTCAGGGGAACTGTTCCAGTCCTGTGATCCTGTTTTTCTGGTTGGCTTTCCTAGCAAAGGGTAGCCAACACACAGCAAAAGCAAGTGCTACATGTTACCAAAAAGAGTCTGTGGTGATCTGTCCCAGAATGAAAGTGAAAGACGGTGAAAACAAAAATGGCTGTAACATTGTGTGTGCAACTGTGCGAGTGGATACTAAAAATACGTTGCTGAGTTTGAAAACCAGCAAGGGAAGCTGGAACCTACTTTGGTTCTGCAACGTGAGAAAAATGCATGAATGATAAAAGGGAAATAAAAAAGTTAAATCCATTCTGTCAGCAGGTATTTGGGTTTAATTGTTACAGTATGACAATATCCCTTCAAAACATCATGGAGATGGTACACATTAAAGTGAAAGACATCAGCTTTCACTCATTCTAATATTAATTTAGAGTTTGCTATAATCACAGGCTAGTTAATTTGGGGCAATACGCAAAACTGTGAAAGCAGAGCCAATAGTTGTTCCAGCTTTTGAGGGACTGATGACCCAACACCAAAACTGGTATCCTAAGCTATAGCATCATTTCAGAGGGATGATAATTTATAGTCTACTCTTGTTCTTAGGAATATGCTCAGGAGTGAAAAAATGCTGTGCATTTACCCCCGAGTACGTGGTTATCTGAACTTAATGTAAACAGTGCTCATGAAGTAACGCCATGTTGCCAGTTCTGCTGTGGTAGCAGCCCCCAAACTGACAGCTCCTGTCATCTTCAAGGCCTCTAATACTCCGTCTTGTGGCTGCTATTGGATGCCTTGAAAACAAGGGTGGGTAGCGAAAACAAGGGTAGATAGCAGCCCTGAAAGTGACTTGCTCTTAGCATGTTCTGGGTTCTTAATAGCAGCCCATTGACAGCTGCCTCTCCTTCCCCTTTTCTGTACAGCTGATCAGGGTACAGCTAATTTACAAAGTAGACAGCAAGACTGAAAGATGTGTATTGTATTCAGATAGCTTATGCACTTAACTAATGTTTGTTATTAATTCATTATGTTCGTTATATTTGTTATTAACTAAAAAATAGGGACTGGCATTGTGCTATGCAATTAAGCAAATTATGCACTTATCCAGGTATGTATTTAAGTTCAGTACAATGTATTTAGTATCAGAATTGCTGTGAAAATGTTTTGCTGGGCCTGACTTTCAACCTCGAATTAATGCGTTTGTCTGTGTGCTACAACGTGTGCCCAGAAGTTGGGGTCATGTGCACACATATGGCTAGATGTTTTTTCCATGTGTTGGAAAATACTGTGGAAATCATGTATGGTCTTCAATTCAGATTAGTCGCATACAATGGCATTAAAGTGTTCTTCTAGTAGATTATATTGTGATAGCAGGTGTAGTAGGTTTACATTCTTGGAGTTATTCTCTATAGGACTGCTTGACCTAAAAGCAAATGGTGAATACTGAACAGTTGTTTCTTTATCTAAGTCAAAACATGATGTTTTCATCAACAACTTATTTTTTTCTCTATCAGCATCAGATTCTGGACAGATGTGCTTAAAAAAACATAGTTCACTGTAGTCATGGAAGTAAAGCAGAACTGAAAACTGAGAGATGAAAGAAAAGTGACACTAAAAAAAAGTTAATTGAACATCACAAAAAAAGTTTACTAAGTCCACTTGTTTGTTTGGAGAGAATTTATTTCAAAGATGTGTAAATTACATCTTAACCAAGACAACTGCTAGGTCTTGAGCTTTCTTTAGTTGTGCTTAATTACAGATATCTGTTCTTGAGTTTGGAGAGAGAATTTCAGTTACAGCAGCCTGTATTTTGATTGCCTGAAAAAGAGAATTTCTTCCTTCTATAGAGAAGCATCTTTTACGTTTAAGGCCCCTTTCTTTAAAGTAATATGAGAAAAGGAGATTGTGAAATGCATGTGAAAATGTTCTGGGTTTTTTTTTTCTCTTTCAGTGGCACTAAGAAAAATAGAAACCAGTCATCATCTTTCAATAGATAAACCGAGTCCTCACGCAGAAATCTTCCTGAAGTCTTCGCAGTCTATCGATCTGCCACAGAAACCACAACCTGGAGACTTGGCCCCAAAGTCTCAACCTGTGGAACAAACCCAGAAACCTCAAATTGGAGATTTACCCCCCAAACCAGGAGAGCTCCCCCCAAAACCTCAACTAGGAGACTTGCCACCAAAACCACAACTTGGAGACTTACCTCCAAAGCCACAAATGAAGGACCTTCCTCCCAAACCTCAGCTAGGAGAGGCATTGGCTAAAACTCAAGCCAGAGAAGCATCTCCAAAGCCTCCACCCTCTGAGACCAATCAGAAATCTCACTCCTTGGATCTCTCTCCAAATGCACAGTCTAGAGACGCCGTCCAGAAACAACCATCTGAAGATGCTAATGACATAGCGCACAGCCTCCCAGAGACCCCCGTGCCGCTCCCCAGGAAAATAAACATGGTGGGTAGTTATACGATGTCACTTTGTTTGTAAGCCTTATGGCAAGCTTTGAAGTGGCCTAAGGGCTAAATTTGCAAGAAAGATGTACTGGCATTCAGTGCACAATACAGGTGACACTGCGCTCCAGTGAAGGTGCAGGCGGACTTGTGTGCTCTTGAATGGTTTCAGCAGGTAATGAAGGTGATGACAAAGGTTCCTACATGCCAAAATGAAGATAAGGAACACAAAAGGCCAGGCCTGGGAGCATGGCAGTATATCTGAATTCACCACTTCGTTTTGCCATTGTGAAGGGAACACATTCTGTTTCTGAATTAAGGGAGTTTTCTGTGCTTAGAGCAGGGGTGCTCAGCCGCTGGCCTTTGGGTCAGATCCAGCCCTCAGTGCTACTTCTAGCCCATCTATTTACCTGAAAAATAGTGGGGCAAATTCACCTTTATAAGCTCCTTTTCCCACTCCATGAAGAAAGGCAAATACTGCATTAGTCTTTTGAAGTATTTTCATATTTTTTAAATACAGATAATCTTTGCCTAATTTTTACAGATAATCGCCTGGGCCATTTGAAATGTTCTGAAAATGAACCACTGAACCTTCTACTTGCATTTATTTTTACATCAGCTATGTTGGACTGTCCCTGTCTGAAAGCTGGCATTCACAGATTGTAGTAGGGGGCACACTGGGGTTTCCATACCCAGCTCCTCTTCCTGTGCGCGCACGCATGGTCATTCCCATTAGCTGGCAGTGTGGCTGTTGGGAGACATGAACCCATCTCAGACAGGTCTTCTCTCGTCTCCATTTCCATGTAAGAGCAAGATCTGCAGTGACAGCCAATAATGCTAGTGTCATCTGCCCGATCCCTTTGATTCTGTTTAGCCACTGACTACACAAGCAAAAGTTCGTTTGTTAAGCAGTTTAGGAAATCAGGTATTTCAGAAGTGTACGGCAGCTTTGACTGGGTACGATTAATAAGGAGTTAAATGGGATTTACAGAGTGGAAAAATGGTCTCAGTGCCACTAAAAAACTACTGTATACATTTTGGGGTAAGGGACTTGCTAACAAAAGGAGAAAATTAAATGCTTTGAAAATATTTCAGTTTCTTTACACCTCACTGTCCCAATCAACTCTGAAAATATGCCCTCTTTTAAAATCCAACTCTTAGTACTTTGCAGAAACGCAGACCACCTCAGGCTTGAATTCACCTTTCCATCACTTCCATGAGTTAAAGGGAATAGATTACTAAAATGTCAGCAAAGCTACTAATAACAAAGTACCAACTACCTGGAGCAATGTCAGTCGCTTTCTTTCACATCCTGATACCTTGAGATATGTATAGAAATCCGACTGTTTACAGACTTGCTTGAACTAGAAAAAAAAGAATACACTGTAGATGGTAGAAATTGTTTCCTTCCATTGTATTTACAAACTGAAGCTACGTACACACATTCAAATGATCTGGGAGAATTATTATTAATAGCTTTCTGCACAGATCTTTTTCTGATCTTTTTCCCATTGTTCCTGTCCTGTACGGTACCTTCCATCTGAGTGGTGTTTGAAATGCAGTGTATAGAAGCAGACAAATTCTACCGCGTACACATAACTGTCTAGATCTGAGCTAATGGGGCAGTACTTTGATACAAATTCTTAACTATGGGCAGAAATAGACCTAGAGATCATGTTTTGGTTTCAGAGTAGATTATCTCATCAGTGGCTTATGTTGTCAGTATTAAATGGTTTCTAGTCTTCTGAAACTAGATTTCATACGAGATTTCTAGCATCTTGGGTGAAAATCTCATACAGTTTTCAGATTTCAGTTTGTGTCTAGACCTGAATCAAAGAATGCAGAGTGGGCTGGGATCCAAAACTTCTAGAGACCGTTTTAAATAGTGGGATTTATATTTGCTATTTTCTTCAGCCCCTGAATCTTCTGAAAATCAGAGAACATTTTTATTTCTGGTTTGTGTTAAAAGGTCAGTGTGGACTGAAATGATATTAAAGCTGTTGTCAGAATTGCTTTCTAGCCTAAGCAGAAAATACTGCTAACAATGGCTCTGATATCATTTCAGTGCAAAATAATTTAATAAAGTAGTATGTTAGATGCTGGGTTTTCTGAAATGTGTACAGTTTTAAGTACAAACTATGGCAGCCACTAAACTTGGTTAAAATCCTTGATGAAACTTCCTTACCGTCACTTTACCAGTGCAACTTGTTTATCCTTTTTGGTTTGCAGTCAGAGACAAATGCCTGATGACATAAAGTGGTTTTGGAGAATAAAACAGAGTCCAAAGCTGTTTAAATTCTGTTATCCCTTTCTCTGAGCTCCTTAACCTTAAACTTTACCTTTTTTAAGGGGAAAAACAAAGTCAGAAGAGTAAAGACCATTTATGATTGCCAAGCAGATAATGATGATGAGCTTACCTTTGTTGAAGGAGAAGTAATTATTGTAACTGGTGAAGAGGACCAAGAGTGGTGGGTGAGTATCTGTCCTTTTATGAAGATGCTGAGGAACTGATGCTTTTCTGGTTGTCATGTCAGCTGAGCAGCAGCTAACTTGTTCATACTTATACACCTTGTTTGACTTATTTAAAGGTCCTGAACACCAGTCCGATCTAGTTTCTTAAAACAGATATATATATAGTATTTAAATGATCCCCCCTGTTCCAGATGAAGTTAGCCTCAAAACTTACAATTGGCTTTACACAGTTGCTTAATTGGGTGAGTTTCCCAAGAGACCAGACACTGCCTGGATACTTGTGCTTTTCTGTATTCATTTAACCCTTCTGCAGGTCTAGGAGAAAGTAGACAATGACACCATGTCAAGAATGGCACGGGACTTGCATAACATACTTGACTCTTCTGTCAAAAGCCTCAAGCAGTAATAGTGACTTAGACTTGTATCCAGGGTTTAAACTGAAGAAGGAGAATATGGGGAGGGGAATTTCTGGGTTCCAGTGGTGGGGTTCTGCCTCTCCCCTAAAAGCTGCTAAAAACACCCTGGCCAGGGGATGGCTCTTGCTTGCTCAGAAAGATGCATCTAACATGCAGTACTTTGTCTTTGGAATATACCAGCTTTCCATCAAATTTGGAGGTGTCAGATCTGCTTTTATGACTATTGGCAATGGCAGCCTGTGGTTCCAGTCTTCCAGAAATGTTGAATGCACTTGTTAGAGCGGTTGGGAATCCACCCGATTATCATCATTAATCCCATGCACTGCTGGTTTTCCTGCATAAATGATATGCTGCTTATCAGCAGTTTCCCTGCCCAACAGTTATTATTCCTGCTTCACCTCTGGTCTCCCTTGTGGATCAACCTCTTCCTTCTCCACAGCCTCCTCTCTGGACCTGATCCAGTCTTCAGTCCTCTGCTTCGAACCTCACACCCAGTCAGAGGCCCCAGTCCTCCATTCACTCTCTGCTGGCTTCCTCCCAAGCCCTAATGAATCCTGCCTCTCTCTTCCTCACAGCTGCAGCTTGGGGAAATGAGACAGGTTTTATTAATAAAAATACGATTCCAACTTCTGTGCTGTCTTGACAGCTGTTAGTCCAGCTGTCCACCTGCAGTGCTGCCCAGGCTGAGTGGGTTCTGCACCACACACAAGGTTTATTTTCATCAATTGACAGGAAGCCTAGAGAGTAATAGGATTCAGACCCAGGACACAATATCAGAAAGGGGAATGCCTCGGCCAAATTGGGGTGGGGGAGGAATGGCAATAGAGGGAGTAGGCAAAGGTCCGTGCTTTTACAGGTAACTGCTCTTATATTTAGCTGGTCTCCTAATAATATAAGCACAATTAAATGCATTTGGCATAAAGAACAGTACAACAGCTGCAGAATATTAAAAAATGGCTTGGATGTCAGTTTTCTCTAGATCTTGAAAAGAATTTGGTGATTTTCTTGCTAAGTCAGAGATCCTAATGAACTTGTAATGCACAGTTATAGTGAAGCCAGTGGAATTGTCTCATGCATTTGTACTGGCACTGAATTCTGGCGATGCAAGTAGAGGAGTTATCTCATGTGCATGTGAATAGTAACAATTCCATCACCATCAAATGGCCAGAGGACCTTGCATGTTATCAGTTTATCATTGATGACAATAGTTCTTATCAATATGTTTGCAGAGAATTCATCACTTCTGTATCTTTAACTCAAAGCAGAACTATAGGTGTAATGACCCCTCTGTCGTAACTTTTTAATATATTCAACATGTCCTGTTTCAGTATGAGAAAATGTTTCTTTTTTTTTCTCCTTAAATTTACAAATCTTACTTGTTTAGAACCAGGAAAACTGTTTCATATGCTTTACTTAAAGGCAAGTGTTGATGCAAGGAAATTTGGAGAGAATGGCTTGCAGTTAATTATTTGGCAAAGGATTTTATTACAACAGTGCCCAAAGACCACAGTTGGAATCAGGACCCTCTTGTTACAGATATAGGATGGTTTCAACCTCTGATGCTGTCCACAGATGTCAGGTGCAAAAGGCAGATCACTTTTGGAGTCTGAGGCCCTGTGAAGGTTCACTGAGGTCTACCTGTTATGTAACCCCTTAGTCGATGTTACCTACCTTAAAACCAGCCAAGTCAATCCACTAGCTCCACAAAACAGGAACAAATGCTAGAATCAGTAACCGTCTCAGATCGGTGGAGTCTGTGAATGAAGTACTGTCTGGTCAAGGCTGTATGCCCCCAAATTGCTGGGTGGAAGTAAGAATGCTGCTGGCAGCGCTTGCTAAGTCTGGCTTGTAAGTGAAGCTGGGATCTTCTTAAGAAGCCTCTCTTTGAAATGTTGCGGAGAGCTCCAAACCAAGAGGTGCTTCTTGGACAGGAGAGCTGGTGGGCCATATCCTACAGTCTTTGCTGTTGTAGCCTCAGCTGTTTGCCTTCTAGTTTCCACCCCCCACCCCATTATAGCAACCTATGGAGCAGAAAGGGTTATGCTATTCTGAAAACAGTGGACCAAGATTTATACCTGTGAGGCAGAAAAGGACTGTAGTGAAATGCCTGCTGTTCTAATGCAGTCAGAGCTGTAGTTTGTGAAATGCCCACACACCAGATAACTTACTTGAAAATGTTTGGATCCCCCTTCCACGCATCTATTTTTTCTGTAGGAACTGATGACTGCAACCTTGTGGTCCACTTGTTCGCGGGACTTGTTGGCTCTATCCTTCTTAAGCAGGAGGGCTTAGACCTGACTTTGGGGCTCTGATTCTTTCAGGGAGAGGGTAGATGAGCCCTCTATCCCTTGTTTCTCTTCTTTGCCTGATGTAAGGAGTGCTCTGTAAGGTTTTCTTCTACCCATCATATAGAGCAAACTAGTCCATGTCATTTTCCACTTTTAGCAAATATCTTTGTGGAGTGAGTTGGTCAGCAATGATTCAGGAGATGATTGTTACCCCAGGTATAGTCTGATACCTGTAGCTGAAGGTGCACTTTTCCTCCTCCATGTTCCTGAAATTCTTGCAATTCAGTGAAATACAAGACTTTTGCCAGCCTCCCATTCCAACAACAGTCCTTTAATTGTTTCATTCTACCTGCATTCATTTGTGCCTTTGTTAATCAGTTAAGCTGTTTGGATGGCTTATTATTGATCTTTATAAAAAGCCAAATGTTAGCTGACCTGGGTCAGTTGGTGGAGGGTTTACATGGCGTGGGGCGAAACATGCAGGACCCCAGCTCACTTGCGCTGACACGCAGAAGGAAGTGCGTGGTGGTTGTATGGGATAAATGGGAAGTCCTTAAACCATGTTTGTCTCCTTTGTTGCAGATTGGCCACATCGAAGGACAGCCGGAGAGGAAAGGAGTCTTCCCTGTGTCCTTTGTGCACATTCTGTCAGACTAATAAACATACAAAACTTGAGCATTGCACATCCTTCATGCAAGACGGGCTTTTTAGCAAAAGCGAACAGCTGCTGCCTCCCTGTAATCCTGTGCACAATTGTATATATAGCTGCTGTTACAAAATAAGAATTCATTTAAGGTCCACCTCATGAGGTGAATTATATCCGCATTGTAAATATACTGTGTTATTCTGCCTTTGCCAGTATTATGGTAGCCTTGGAACCTGGCACGCCTTATTGGGTTTGTTGAAGCCATCCTTGGCATCTAGCACTTATATCTCTGTCCATGCTGTTAAAATCGTGTACGAACTGCCAGCTTTCCAAATATAGGTGGTTTCAATCACCCATGTAACTGGATAGAAATGACTGTTCCTAACAAACTCCGTACTTTCAATGATATGATTAGAAAGTTAGATTCTGTTTTCAAAGTGAATGGTTTGGGCCCCTTTAAAGACCAGTCTACAGTTTTTAAGTGTACACCATTTACAGCTATGAAACCCACTTTGGTATGTATTAAATGAAGTGTTCAGTTAAGTGTTATTATAAAAACAGCAACAGAAATATTCACTGACTTTACAGACAGCAGTAGCATTTCTGGGTGCGCATCCAGCATTTCATGTTTCTGTTCTGTGGACTCCTCCGCACTGAGTGCAGCTTCCCTGTGATATTACCTCACTGTAAGAAGGTTACAAATTACTTCCCTCTGAGAACTTTTTTATTAAACATTAGTCAGACTGTCCTGCATTAGAAAGATGTACAATTTGGTAAACCTTCTTCCATTTAACTTCTAGAAAATATTACTCTTGGCATTATGCATGCATTTAGAAGCTTACTTAAAACCTGTCTTTGTACATGAATAGTACTGTAGTCACATAGCTAAGTTTGAACAAGAGAGCATTTCAATTTTCTCACTGTTCACATTGAAATGTGAGCCTGCAACAGTATTAGTTTATAGCTAATTGGCTGTCTGAACATTGTCATTTAAAAATGGCTTCAACATCGTTGAAGGTTATAATTAGCTAATGTAAAACTTTGTAAGTGGTGTGTTATTTGGCAAACTCAGTGTTGTAGATAATTTTTTTCAAACAAAATCAGAGTGAAAATTGCCCTTTTTCTGCTATTGATGATGGAAACCCAAATCACCAATATCAAGTTGTTTTAATAGTCTTCATTAAACCAAAATTGTGGTCTATAGTTTTACCTCCAGGCATCAGCCAGCAAACACATAATTATAATGTTAAATTTCTACTAGTCTTTCGAGTGTTGCATTTGACCCCTGGCAGCTTCAGAAGTATGAAATTGCATTGCCTAAAAACACATTCCTTGCACTTAATTAACTCTCATTTTTTCTCTATTCAAAGCATCTAACATGCTATTAAAATACAAATCCATTCATTTTTCTCATTTTCTACGGTATGTTACAGTTTAACACACAATTGTTTTTCTTCGTAAACCGTTTTTGTCAGGTTCCTTGCTTTTCATATATAGGCCTGGTACATTTCTTAAGATAGATGTCACTTCAGCACAACAACAGATATAATTTATATTTTATCGTAGATCATCTTGGCTACCCAGGAGAATTTTTCATTTCATAAAAGCACAATGCAAATTTTCTGAAAGCTTTCATTTTTAGAGCAGTTTGACAAAGCTGTAGTCAGTGAATATTTAATCTTATTGATATGGCTAATATGGAAAATTTAAATATCAGTCTAATAAAACCTGCATGATAATTGCAAAATATTGGAACTGTTATTGGAAAGCGGCTTTTAAACAATTGCTTCATCATCTCTGACAAAAACAAGTTTATTCTTAAAAAAACAAGAAAAGAAAAGGAAAAAAAAACAGGGCACAGTGCAACGAAGCTTGCTGGCATTTCCCCCACAGCATTACCCACAGTATTTCAGACTCATACTTTTTCTGGAAGGAAGTCAGGCCCAGAGTTTATTTTGCATTCCATTTTATCCATTAATACATTTTAAGTTGCATTAAAGAACAAAAACTATTTACGTTTTGTGGTCAAGTGTATTTTTAAGTGATCTCAAAGTGAGCTGGTAAAAGCAAAATGTATAAAGAAACTTGGACATGTAAAATGATGTTGAGTCAAATGCTATTCTTTTCTACGCTCTTTGCAGTAGTATATATGCATTTTTTTAAACTGAAATTGAGTTCCATCAGGAACAAGAGTTCTGTTTATTCTGGCTTATCGTGGGTCATAGGAAACCTGAAAAACACGTTGTATGATATTGAGTTTAAGTATGGTATTATTTAAACTCAATGAGCCACTCTGCAATTTTGTACATGACATGGTATTGGAGAAAGTCTAGATCTTTATGGACAAATAGCTAATTAGTTTTTTTGCCCCAGGAGGGGGAAGTATGTTCTGCAAATGATGTCTTATTTACTGTTGAACAGCAGTTGCTATTTATTTTTTTATTACATAGTACATTGACGTGTTGTATAGAAATCAGCTCTGGTAGTGCCACTAGTTAAAATCTTGACTTCTTATTTGAATGTTAAGGTCAAACATCAGTACACTTGTCTCTTCACATGTATTTAATGTGACAGTTTGAGTACTGTATGTGTTAATTTCTACTTTTTTAATATTTAAAGTCGCTTTTAAATAAATGTATTCAGTTGATCCCAGACATCTGCACCAAGGCCCTTTTGTCAATTGGAATATCCTTGAGGAGAAAAAGACAATTTACTTCAGTAGAGTGCAAGAGACTATCCTAAGTACTTGGATATAGCACACACCTTGCCTGGTCACCATTGGCATGTATATCTGTTATGTACAGAAGCATTTCCCTGTAGTTACAGTGTTTTAATCCAACCCGTGGAGTAATGAGCGCATTTTGCTGTGACACTTTCTCCAGTGGGCTTTTCTACATTTAAAGTGGCTTTCTGTTTGGAAAGAAACGCTTGCCTTTTCAGTCATCTTCTTCTCTCCAGAAGGGAGAACAGAATCTCTCAAACAGCTGTAGTGTGAAATGGTTCTTCGATGGCCATGAGTGTGATCCCTGGAGCTGAGCGCCTGTCTAAGTTACTACCTAGCCCGGTGGTTCTCAGCCTTTTTAGACTCCAACCGTCCCCTCATAACTTGTGAACTGAGCAGCACCCCAGTTCAAAAAACAAGTGTATTTATTACAGTTCTTACCTCCTTGGAGAAGGGCCAGGCAGCAGGTGCCATGCAAGGAGAGCCTGCCCTTACTTAACCCCTCATGCTTCCTGTGGCACCCCAGCCCCCACAGTGAGAAATAACAATCTAGCCTTTACCAGAGAAGGTCGACACATTTGAAGTTGTGTGGAGCCTTCTTTTAGGCTCTTGAATGCTTTCAGTGCAGTCTCTTCTACTTGAAAGAGGGCCCCAGTAACCAGCTCCTTCCTTTCTGACTTACTGGTTTTACTCTCTCGCTATTTAAAAGACAACTTACAGAAACTTTTTAGTCTCTGTCCTTCCCTGAACGCTGCTGAAGGATGACAGTTTCCTAGCCAGCGTGACTAGCAGGAAGTGGTAAGTGAACAGAGCTAGCTCCTGGACCAGCAGCAGGGCTGTGGTCTCACTGTGCTCTAAATCAGCAACTTTGTGAGCTAGTTAGGACTGCTGGTGGTGATGGCAGTGGTCTATGAGCCAACTGCGGTAACTCCTCATTACACCAAAGTCTGGAATATAGCCCATACCCTGGGCCATTCACCAAGAGCTGATCGCACTAGGAGTTTGGCGTTTGCATGCTGAATATATGAAGCACTAAAAATGTTTCTCTGACCAAGACTTGATCCTGCATCATTCCATCATTGCTTTTTTCTTTTCCTTCTCATGTACCTGTTTTTCCCCTCCTGTGCTGGAGCAAGACCCTCATTTTTACATATCATTTAGAGGGTCTTAGTTTTTCCTAAAAATCACAGTAGAGGGGAAAAAGTATTTTCCACTTCAAGTTGAAGGAAGACTGCTTTGTTGCCGCAAGAAAAAGTCTGAAAGCTGCAGTTATTAGTCACTCCACTTATTCATGTTACTCTTTTTGCTACGTAGGTGGGAGACAACCACTGGAAATGCATCTGAAAGCTAGAACTCCACTGCAGTACAGAGAGAACATTCAAAATCGGTTTGCTCTAGGTCTGGAACAACATTATCTGCCCTTTCACGCAGAAGGTGTTCAGCTGAAGGCTTATAGAAAACAAAATTAAAGCTATGCTGTCTTGTTCCTTCCCCTTTTTAGGCTTCCACTCAAGTGGCTCAGCCAAACAGAGCAGGAGGAAGTTGTCTTGAGCTTGTGAAAACACAGCAGGAGGGTTAGGTGCTCCTGCTCAACAGAGCACAGCAAGTGTCTTGCTTCAGGAACCTGGCATACCCCTTCAAATAGCAGGTGGACAAATCTAAACCCCAAAGTGAATGCCCACTGGGTACTGCCTGAAGTAGCAGACAGTTGAGCTAGCTAGGACCCCAATTTCTGATATCCTATAGAGTATTTTGAGGTTCTCCATGCCTTGAATGCTCCAATAAAAGAGATTTGTTGTACAAGGCAGGGTCCATTAAACTAATTTATACAGGTTGGTAAAGAGTTAATTATGGACCTTAACTAGTTTGCAATTTAGCACAAGCTGTTGTTTCCAGATTATACCCTAGGATTAAGTGTAGAAACTTGCACCTTTTGTTTTGCTGGTCCCTTAAAGCTTAACTATCATTTGGTTGTGTAGAAGGTGCCTCTTATGAGCATCAAGGTAGAGCTCCCACAGACTAAAAGGAGGTGCCAATTAAGTGTGAGAGCAGTATAGGCTACAGCTGCTGCTAGCCAGCATGAAAGCTACATTCCCCATGCTTACTGAAAAGCAAGCTCAGTCTGTTGACAAGTATTAGTTTTACTTAATAGTTTTCCTGCCCTAGAGGCCTTAGCATCAATAAAAAGCTTAGCTAGGGATCACTTTAGGCTATTTCTATTGCTTCCTAGTCTGGTATGAAGTACTTGGCTATGGGCACTTCTCAGTCCAAGGGCAGTCAGCTTAGGGTAGGAATATCACTACCTACATTTTAAAAATGTGGCTGTATTAAAAAGGCAGACTACTCCCAATATCAAATAACTCAACCTTTGGCTTTCCAACCTGCATTCCCCTGAAGGGAACAGAAAAGGCAAAACCCAAAAAAAAAAAAAAATGCAAAGAGAGCCTAGGTAAGTGGAAGCACTATTTGCTGACTACAAGTCAGCTGCAGCCTAGGCTTTGTTACAGCTTCCTCTACAGACAAGATGTACTTCCTCATTCAAAAAGGAGTCTTTTGGAAGCTCACTAGGGAACATTACATTCAGTCACTTAAGTGAAGCTGGAGGCCATGTGCAGTTATAATAAAATTTGTTAAGCTTGCTTTAAGAAAAGGTGCAAGTTACAGCATGCGCCACAGTTGTTGCATGAAGCTGTCCTTGGGATTTTACTCAAAAGGGCTCAAGGTCTTGACAGATGGACTGAGAGGCCAGGCCCAGCCCTTTTCAAGGGTGTAGAGTAAGGCTATAGTGTCCAAGGTGGCTTTTGTAACAAATGCAAATAAGTCTGATCAGATGAGATTTAATTGTTCCAACACTGAACAATCCCACTGCATTAAACATAAAAGATCCTCAACTTGAGGTTAAACAAAAAACCCCAAACCAATCCCACAAGCCGTGAGCATTTCTCTATGAAGGTAGTTTGCAAAAAACAAAACAAAAAAAACAAAACAAAACACCTTAACCTCTCACAGCTGGCAGCACTCCACTAGATAAGCAGAGCTTTCTGCACTTGTTTTCTAGTAGAGCCTGTGGATTTCTTTTCTACCGATTTGATGACTCCAACTGCAACAGTCTGCTTCAAATCCCGAGCTGCAAAACGACCTGAAATGAGAACAAACACTAGGCTTAGCTATCTTTGACTCCGTTAGGCAAAACAGCCTGTTCCTGCAGATGCCAGGGTTCCTTTAGTCCAGAAATAGCCATTTAGTGACGTTAGGCTGTGGATCCTACTGGGAGTGGAGAGCAGTCCAAGTGGACCCCAGTCAGGGACTAGGCACTTTGATTTATGTTTTCACCAAGGCTTCTCTTTTGCCACTAGCAGCTAACAGGCAGCATTGTCATGACTCCAGATACTTACCCAAGGAAGGAAAGTCGAAAAACCTTTCCACACACATTGGCTTCCTAGGTATAAGCCTAATGAGAGCAGAGTCCCCAGACTTCAGCATAGATGGACTGTCCTCCAGCTTCTGCCCAGAGCGACGGTCAATCTTCTCATAAAGTTCAGCAAACTGGCAGGTGACATGAGCCGTGTGGCAGTCGATCACTGGAGAGTAGCCAGCCCTGATGAAGCCAGGGTGGTTCAGGATAATCACCTAGGATCCAGAAATATCCCAGGAATGAGTGGAGGGCTTTTCACCTCCGCTATTTAGGGGAGAATGCCCAAGATACCTGGACATTATTAAACTGCTTCAGCTGGCAACCATCTGAAGAACCTATACATCCAGCATTTACTCTACAAATAGGATTTTAAAACACCTCTCCATCCCCTACTTTAGGCCTGCTGGAAGTACCATTTCAGAAAGACACCCTCCAGGAGCTGCAGCTTCTTCACTGCTCATCCCAAATACCCGTCTGCCCTTCACAGGAGGCCTCCAGAACAGCAAACAAACCAACCTGACTCTGCCTACAAATGCATCTCTGTACCTGGGCTATGAAGTGAGCTGCTGCTGCTGGAGGATCATTCCTGGAGTTACCAGCTACATGGCCCCGTCTCAGGTTCTTGACAGCAATGTTTTTTACGTTGAAGCCTATGTTATAGCCAGGAAAAGCCACTTCCAGTGGCTCATGGTGCATTTCAATGGATCGGACTTCTGCCGATAGGTTTGTGGGGGCAAAAGAGACAGTCATGCCTGGTTTAAGAATGCCAGTCTCTATCTTCCCCACAGGTACAGTACCAACTCCTAGGGAAAAAAACCAAAAGCACACACATTAATGCATTTGTCAGAGCTGACTATGTGAAGCACAGGTAGTGCAGCAGGATTAACTCTCCTGGCCAGGACAGGGCAGGAGAACAACTTCAGAATCCTCTCCTTCAAGGAGAAAAGTTGACCCTCCAAGGGCCAGAAAGGTATCCATGGCTATGCAGCTGCAAGAAGTCCAACAGGGAATTTGATATCTTCCAAAAGAAGCAGGTATGAAGTTCTAGATTGGGCAAGTGGCTTCATTGCCAACAGTGAGATCCCAGGTGGTGGTCTCTAGTGTCAGTAAGAAGCACTGGTGCCATGGCAGGCACACACTGGATTAACCACCACAGGGACTTCCTTATGAAGTCAGCTTGTGCAAAGAGATGAGGACATGTCTGATGCCACTCTTACCAGGAAGGCAACACAGTTGATAACTACTATAGAGCAAATGAAACAGCAGCAGAGTGAGAGGTGTTGCTGCCACAAGGCATAAGCCAAGGTTACTGGACCAGACCAGACTGCCAGGACCAGTGCCAGGTTGGTGCTGTAACTTATTTCTAGAGATGCAACAGGGCTAGGAATAAGCTGGGCCTTCTCTTCATGAAGGCCATTTGTGAAGGGCAAAAGCAAAAAAATCTCAGCTCTACTTGGGTTCCTGCCCCCCCCTTCTCCCCCCAGCAGTCCCATAAGGAAATCCCAGGACCCAGCCCCTTTCCAAGACCAACCTCCGATCTTGTAGACATCCTGCAGAGGCAGCCTCAAGGGCTTATTACTCAAACGCACGGGAGGCAGAAGAGAGTCTAGCACTTCCAAAAGTGTTTGTCCCTTCCCAAAACCTTCCTTCCGTTTGACCTGCCAGCCTTTGAACCAGCTCATCTGCAGGGGGGAGAAGCGAAGTGCTAGCAAGATGCATCAGACTGACAGCTGGGATGCACACGCAAGCTCCCAGAGCTGGGCTGCTCCCCAGCCAGGCCTGGAGCAAGCCCCAGCTCCTTTTCCCCATGACCCAACTTGGACTAGACCGGTGCTCTGGACCCCTCACCCACCCTGGGCCTGCATGCAGAGGCTGGAGACCATGCGAGGCCCCCCGATGTTGGCAGCCCAGCTCATCCGTCCCCACCCCAGAGGGGACACACCAAGGCTGTGCTCTGCTGGGGAGGGAAACGGGCTTCCCCCCCAGCCCTGCTCCATGTCTGCACCCCTACATGTGGGCTGGGGGAAGTGCATGGCTAGGGAAGGCCCACGGTTAGCAGAGGCTCTTGCTACAGGTGCGATCCCTCAGGCTCCGTTATTTAGGAGCTCTGCCTTTTGCAGCTGCCG